CTATTTCTTGTATTGAATGATAATAGGACACACATCCGGCAAGTCACTGCACGACAGGTCAACACTTACACTTAAAAATGGCCCCAAAACCAGAGGTTAATGAAGAATCGATTACCAATAGAACATTACGACGACTGGCTCCTTCATCAATCCCGGGTTTTTATTGCTTGTCTGACGTTATCCAGCAATGATCTTGTGTTATATGTTACATTATGACTACATGAGAAAGGGTCCTCTCCAGAAAAAAAGAAGTCTTTTCAGAACAGCGTGTTTGGTTGATCACGAAAGAATGTAATGTTGTTATAGGTACACAGATACTTAATAAGGAGTACGCTTAAATCTATCAGAGTAGGAATTGACTCAAATCAGTTTTTATTCAATAAAAAAAAACCCATCCTGATGAACAGATACTGGACACTTGGATTAATAATGTGGAATCGTCTTCTGAAACACTGACATACATCCAAAGGAAAAATTTTAATTAGTATTTTGAAGGTACTGTATCAGGATAAATACAAATAAATGTTCATTTTATTAATATGCATTATGGTAAATTTATTGTTTTGTATTACAAGTTGTTCAATCACAGATTTTGTAGTATCAAACACTGATACAAAAGCGTGCTTTCTCTTTTGTGTAATTATTTATTTTAATCTATGTGTTTTTATTGATGTCTTAAATAAATAATATTCATTATTTGCCAATTTCGACAAATTCTGCTTCTATTAGCAAGTAATAATTATGACATCACCAAGCGAAAGACCAGTAAAAACTTTCCGGGGAAAAAAATAAAGAAGTTGTACGGTATAACTGTATTGCTTTGTTAAACTTTTATATGATACAATGTTTGTGATCAGTGCTAACTACAACCCGTCGGTACTGGATATAACAATGATTTTTATAAATATGGAGGAGGTCATCCGACGATGAAAAAACAGCTGACTATCATTGTGAATAAGTTAAATCTTAAAAGTGTTACAAAACAGTTAAAAACATAGATATTGATGTAACATTTCCTTAGTTACGAAAGTACTAATATATCATTTATTCGTTACTCTGTTTTTGTTGAGTTGTTTGATTCTTGCATTCACTATTGATTTTCTCAGCCAACAAACAGGCAAAACATGTCTCTGATTAAAAAAGATTTGTTGAGATATTCCAATTCACCTTGAAAATAAATTATTTGATTTTGTAAAATATAGTTTTACAATTTTATTTTGCTACTGTCAACCAAAGACGTGGAATTTATAATTTGTGTATATGATGAGCTCCAAAGAGCTTTTGGCCAATTTTCAGCACCACATTTGATTTTCCACTCTCTGCATCACCATACTATATTGCAAACTGAGAGAACATCTTCATTCTCTCGTTATGAGAGTTTTCTTTTCCAAGGTGAACGGCGGTGCAAATATATGATTGTGAAAATGAAAATAATAATAAAAGAGGACGAAATCATAAATATGATCGAGTTTCTAGTCGACAACATCTTCCTCGAGTTTGGTGTTAAGATCTTCCAGCGAACTATTGACATTACCATGGCAACTTTTTGTGCCCCTCTGTTGGCTGACTTGTTTTTGATTGTATACAATGCTGATTTTATCGAAAAGCTTACCAAAAGAGGATACAATAGCAACATATCTATATCACCAACCTATTGTGTTTCACAATTATTTCGATATTCACGGATCTGTTCCCACTATCAGAATTTTCGTGTAAGAGGTCATCAACTGACAAATTCGTAACACCTGGTTCCAAACGATGATCATGGTGATCTTCTTGAGAAACTAGAAGCTGTCGTGTTTGATACTGGTTTGCCTGTTCCGTTGTTGTATACCTTGTTCTAAACTGAGAACGTGACATTACTAACTTGGAATGACCAAGGTTTACATGATGGGTGTCGTCGATGAAGTAGAGGACACTTACTCGTTCGGAACATATGGTCTTACTTTCCTCATTCTTTTTTTGGAGTGTCCATGTAACTCTTGCTTTTTTTCTATTTTTGCCCTAGTTTTATTGTGTTTGAATTTGGATTAGAATTATGTTAACAGGTTGGCATTACCTCAATGATTTTTGAGAATGAATGTTTTCATTTGATTGTGTTTATAATATCATATTCGGGGAAATAGTAATTCTAGTGAACCAAGTGAATAAGCAATAAAAAAGGTAAGAAATTTGTGTATATTAGTGTAAAGGGTTGGAGTATGTGGTATCTAGCGTATTGATAATTCATTATATTCATGATTCATGATTGATCATGTCAACGAACTTCTTTTTGGTAGGATTAGTTGTGTGAATAATAATTTATCATGGAGTAAGAAATAAAATTGGAGTACATATAGAAGTCGATATCTTAGAAAAAAAATAAAACAAAAAAACAGACAACTAAAAAAAGTAAGTATATACATTTCGTTACAATGGCTATACCTACTTATATCAACTTTGCATACAAATTTCTCGTCTGTTCTATTGTGCAATTTATCACAGTGTTAGGATTAAATAATCGGACAGATTTAAGAGATCCCATTCTGTGTTGAAACCATGCAATCTGGTGTGTTCGGGACGATTTTAAAGATAACAGTTAGGCTATTTTTGAAATTGTAGTCAAGAACTGTAAAGAAGTTTAAAATGAGGATCATTGTTGTTTTATTGTTATTTATCCGTACATATTTTCAGGATTATCGATTTAACCAGTGAACTGGTGTTTATGTGTAATTCTATAACACCTTTATCACCAACAGACTTTCAGAATTATTAAATAACAATACTTTGTATTTCGAGTTGAAAATAACATCCACCTTGTATCTCAATAAAAAGTCTTACATGACTCATTTGTATTATTTAAGTTTGTCCAAAGTTCATGCGATCCTTCTGTATTGGATGCTGATAATTACAGGGTCGAGATTCCATGCATTGATCAACAACTTCTGTGGTGTTTCTAGGCATTCACCTCGTGATTTGCTAGCGACCATCCTTAATCAACAAATAGTATGAATATTTAATGGTATCGATAGGCTGGCCCTTACTGACGTCTCTTAACAGAAATTCGACTTTCTATCTGTTCGTTTACCATGCAAAGGGCAACAGCTACAGAACAGGTATCGTGTTCCAGATTGGTATAATTATTTCCTGTTTAGAAACACGATAGTTTATATTGTCCATGCAGAATTGTAGTTATACGGAGATTTCGGAATAAATCTGCGTTATCAGCATGCATGTAATCCTCTTAATGTCTTTTTATTGCATATTTCAGGTGTCAGAACATCCATTTTCCCCATATCACGTCTTTTATGGACAGCTATGTATACACTCTACATATCGACTCTGATTTATATACCTTGTTTAATAACACAGCAATGTACTCCCTATCAAACACTATCGCCAAGCGTATACATCGCCACGAATTAAATTACACTGTACTATCATTGAAAAGTAGAAGTTAAGGAGGACCATAGACACTTAACATAAAGAAGTAAGATGCAGGTTGATGTCGTCAACTGACACACTAACTCGTAACACAGGGTTTCAAAAGATGCAGGTTGATGAAAATGAAAGTTGTGTGGTCGTCATGGTGATTTCAACTGAGAAATATTCTATTTCTTTGTTTGGTATGAATCTGTATGTGTTTGATGCTCGTTAGTTTGCCTGTTGGTTCCGTTGTTGTATTGTTGTATTCCTTGTGCTAAGACCGTGACATTACTAACTTGGATTGACCACGATTTACATGTCGTCGATGAAGCAGAAGACAATGTAAATCGATTTTTTTAAGTTCCAGTTAAGATTTTCATTATGTTCAGCTGTTTATTTCTTCATTTATTTTTGAAATGTTGTTATGATGATCTCATGTTGAAATGTTTTGTTTCCTTGTGGTATATGAAGTTCTACGTTTTTGATATACATATTGTTATTTAGCTGTTTCACCTTAGAATTTAAGTCAGCATTTAAAATTCTTTTCTTTTCCGTGAATATGTGAACAGTATGTACCTGATACCTTGATGAAGAAACAGTAAAATTTTTAACTAAACACACTTAAGCGATAGCATTGTTCAGTATTAAGAATAAGATACAGTAGAGCAATATAATGGATTTAAGTTCAATCAATTAGTTTTTCGTCTTCCTAGGATAGCGTAGAATTTGTTTGGGGGGGGGGGGGAGAAAATACCAACATGTCAACATAATCATAATACAAACTCGAATTCAATAAAAAAAAAAAAAGACTGGAACAGAATATGAAAAGAGAGATTTACACGGAGACTCCTTAAGAAGCACCGGTATAAACAAGGATAATCAGACCACCAGAAGAAGTTGTGCACTAATATCAATATTTAATAATAAAAAAAGATTTTCAATACCACCTGGCTTCAAAAGAACTTCAAGTACTTGAGTACATTCTGAACCGTACCACTTTTAGATTGAATTAGAATGTCACAGGCAGGTTACGACAAACTTCGGACAGCGAGAGTTCACCATCAGTGTCTACATAACGTAACGCCTACTATCCTCTAGATTGTACAGAAGATAAACAAGTGATATTACCATTCCATACAAATCTATAATGATAAATTACTTGTTGATATGTCCGTTATTTAACCATTCTAGAATAAAACTAATAAATCAGCTGATTAACCCTCATTTCATCAATAGCTATAATATATATAATATTACACGGTTGCCTTTATCAGGATGAAGAATCAAACTTAATTCTTGTCAGAAAACATTATTACGGATTTTATTTAACGGTTCTGATGGAGCAAGGAGATATATCAAACTCATTGCTGTTGTGTTTGTTCAGGTCAATGTAACTTTGATACTTGTGACATATCAAAGTCCGATATCCTATCATTTTATACATTATTATAAATAAAATCTGTTGAAATGAAAGTAATCCTTAACTATCAAATGAAAAGATACTGAAATGACAACCCGACATTTCTAGGACTTTTCAGTGCATTCATTTATCCTTGATTTATCAATTTTCAAAAATGTTGTTTATTTTTTCAGCGATGGCAGCAGGAAACTCCACGAAAACACCGAAAGTAAGTAGATGTTTAAACCTCTTCATATAGAACACTCTTACAATGACATGTCAATACTAAATAACAATATAACTTACCTACCAATACATTATTGCCTCTACTTCACATGTCTTAAATATTCATGTTACGTGTCTCGTTCTTTCACAAAATTAAATTTTAAATAAATTTCCAATGCCGTCTATCCATCAGAGTGGCAATCTTTGTTATTTTATCATTACAACAATAAATTATCGATCCTGTATTGAGCGATTTTTTCGTGATTTTCGTTTTGTTTTTTTGTTTTTTACATGGGCTGCTCTAATTTTATTATCACTTTGTGACGAATATCAAGTCACGTCTATAACCTAAATGAAATACAAATATCATCAACATCGATTTGTTGACATTTTAAACTATAACAATTTTTGTCTTTAAGAAATAAATTTTGCACACGAACCTTCATTAATTGCGTATATTTGAAACCTACTCGACAATGTCCAGAATTCTATGGCCAACAATTATCTATCGATCATCTGGAAGAACGAAGTTTGATTTTTCAAAGAATAGTATAAACTAGATAATTTCTTCGGAAAATTTAATGACTTATTCGTCGCTAATCAAATACAAAATGGTCGGGAAACAGAAGCACCCAATCCAACATACTCCTCTGGTAAGCCATGATTAGCCTGACCCGAATACTCTAGGGTGTGCTGGAAACCAGACCTGAGTCCGCTCGCAGACGTCTGCGTTCAGTTGGTCCGTACACGTACTGAATTTTACATGAAGGGTTTATGATTGTTTGCGTGTGTATGTACGCCTTTTCGATTCAGGTAGATGTCTTTATAAAAACTGCTTACTACTGCATTTTACGTTTCGTGAGTGCTGCAGACAACTATAAAAAAACATCTATTCAGAAAGTCTTTGGATGATCGTTTAACATAAAAAGTCTGCTTCAAAATCATATCAATATTCTGTACTTTACTAATGATAAATAAGGTTTAAGTTATATTTACCTTATTACAAATAGTATTTGCGCATTGTTGCTCATAGAACCTCGGATATATTCTATAATGCATGCAATTCATTATTTGTTCTTCTGAAGTCCATACTTACCAGTACTTCTAGTGTAGTACATAAGCCGTTCGTTAAGTAGTAGTATAATATATACCATATGTTTTTCTCATGTGGTTCTTACCTTCACACCTTGATAGTCTATGTGTCGTGAATGAAGCAAAGGACGCTCACTCTTCCAGGACATCTGGTCTTATTATCCCTGTACTTTTGCAGGAGTCTCCGTGTAAATCTTTCTTTTGTTAATGTTTTACCATATTGTAATGGAATTTGAGTTTGGATTATTATTATGTTCCAATGTTGGTATTTTCTTGTTTTTATATTTAGTTTTATTTAACCAATCATATGAATCTAATACCACTTTTACTACATAGATGTAAATTAGCATACGTCAATAGAATGTCCACAAAACCACAACATTAAACGATAATCAAGGTAGAAAATGATTTTCAGTAAATATAAAGTTTATGTCACAATGAAAACATCTTTTCTTTATGCATATGTAAATACAATACGGTTAGTACAGCATAACGTCATATACATGTAAGTAATTAAATATATATACCAACATGTTGCGGATGTGGAACTTGCAGAACCGCCGACTTGGCATGTAATAGTAATAAGAGATATCAAACAGAATCTGTTGACTTTGGGTGTAGTTATCTTAAGTTATCCTAGTGATAAGACATATCGTACAGAATCTGTTGACTTTGGGTGTAGTTATCTTAAGTTATCCTAGTGATAAGACATATCGTACAGAATCTGTTGACTTTGGATGTAGTTATCCTAAGTTATCCTAGTGATAGGAGATGTCGTACAGAATCTGTTGACTTTGGATGTAGTTATCCTAAGTTATCCTTGTGATAAGACATATCGTACAGAATCTGCTGACTTTGGGTGTAGTTATCCTCAGTTATCCTAGTGATAAGACATATCGTACAGAATCTGTTGACTTTGGATGTAGATATCCTAAGTTATCCTAGTGATAGGAGATATCGTACAGAATCTGCTGACTTTGGGTGTAGTTATCCTTGTGATAAGACATATCGTACAGAATCTGTTGACTTTTGATGTTGTTATCCTAAGTTATCCTAGTGATAAGAGATTTCGTACAGAATCTGTTGACTTTGGGTGTAGTTATCCTCAGTTATCCTAGTGATAAGAGATCTGCTGACTTTGTTATCCTCAGTTATCCTAGTGATAGTTATCTGTTGACTTTGGATGTGATATCCTAAGTTATCCATATCGTACAGAATCTGCTGACTTTGGGTGTAGTTATCCTTGTGATAAGACATATCGTACAGAATCTGTTGACTTTGATGGTTATCCTGTAGTGTTACAGAATCTGTTGACTTTGGGTGTAGTTATCCTCAGTTATCCTAGTGTGATAAGACATATCCGTACAGAATCTGTTGACTTTGGATGTAGTTATCCTAAGTTATCCTAGTGATAGGAGATGTCGTACAGAATCTGTTGACTTTGGATGTAGTTATCCTAAGTTATCCTTGTGATAAGACATATCGTACAGAATCTGCTGACTTTGGGTGTAGTTATCCTTGTGATAAGACATATCGTACAGAATCTGTTGACTTTGGGTGTAGTTATCCTAAGTTATCCTAGTGATAAGAGATGTTGTACAGAATCTGCTGACTTTGGGTGTAGTTATCCTTGTGATAAGACATATCGTACAGAATCTGTTGACTTTTGATGTTGTTATCCTAAGTTATCTCAGTAATAAAAGACATCGTACTCCCCTGCCAGGCATTCATTTTTTCCACTAGGGATATTGAATGTAACCTGCTTTGATTCCAAAGTAATGGATTTGTGTTCAACATGCAAGAATTACAGCGGTACCGACATATTCATATTCTTCTGTTAGATTAGCAGTCAGTGAGATATTTAATTGGGATTCTAGGTATCTAGCCACAATGCTAAATAGTGTTGTGTAAACCTTAACCCCTTTTCTCCATGGCCCGGTTGTTTTTAACTGTTTATTTTATTATTTTCAGTCAAAGTCGAGTTTATTTTCAATCCTACATCTTTTTCCCGTTCCACATACCTTGCCGTAACCCCCTCCTCGAATCCCCCGTGTTTTATCTTTGACGTCATTCATTTTCTCAATTTCGATATAATTTCGCTCGGTTTATCTATACCTGTGATTTAATCATTCTTGCGAAGAAATAAGAAAGAAAAGAAGGCTACTGTTTGGTCGATATCTATACGTCATCGATCAGAAGAGTACTGTTGTAATCATACATAAATATTTAATCAAAAAGATTAAGCATGATACTTCATTTGACTATCTATATACAAGTCTACACTCGAAGGTCTCCCAAAACAGTTTGGGTCAGTTTTAAATATGCATGCATTTTTTTTTCAGGACAATTCCCAGTTCCTGACGGATGAGATGATAACTGGTCTATGTATGGGATTCGGCTTCATTGTCGGCCTCATCACATTCATCTGTATCATATGGTGTTTGTGTTGCGGATCAGGCTGCCGCAAGTCAAATGAGAAAAAGGGTCGAGTGGGCCCCTCACCCTCCCCTGGACGTACAGCCCCAAGCACAAGGTCGACAACTGCCAATACTTATTCAACAGGAGGAGGACGTTCGCAGTCAAGAAGAAGCTAATCTTTGTGGAACCGGAAGTTTCAAACCGGATGTTTTAATGCGCAGGTGCTACAGATTGTTATAGAATGAGTTTTTTAAAAGGTGATATATTGTATGATTATGATAGAATGGATATATTTTAGAAAGCAGACTGTGTCGTGGAATTCCCTGTTCTAGATCTACATGAGCATGATTCGTTTGTACAAAGGACAGACGTTAAGGATACAGACAGAAAATTCGGAGATTATGACAGAATACAAATATGCACGTAAATTATACATATATATCAGTTGACGATTGTAAAATTATGCAAAAACACCTGACCACCTGCACGTGTATTTATTGTGTCGTCCTTCCTAATAACCCAGGCAATACTTCATTAGTAGGTAGACAGGGAGAGTTTTTGTTAATTGTAATCTTCAATGATCTTCAATAGGACTTCTGATCTGATGAGATTTAAACATTTGCTGGGAATGTTTAATACAGCACGTGTTCATATTGTTAGAATCAAGTGATTGGTTTATCATACTGTAAGGAGTATAATGTAATATGTTGCTGGTTGGTATCAACTGATTCTGTGACCAATACAAGCTGAAAGGATAGGAATACGTATACAATAAAGGAATACATTTATTCAAGCATTCCATGTGTGTCAGATACATATTAAACTGTTGAAAGTACACCAGTATTGTGTACACACAAAACAGGGTATCTTTTTAACAAGATCTTAATTAAAAATCTCCCACTCACATCGCATTTGTTATGATCGGCACATGTTTCTCATGCGGTACCCCACTATTGCCGTGTAACTTAGATTGGATATTTCTTATTTCACCAAAATCAAAGCTGTTATCACTTCTCAATCAAAACTAGAATAGTATTAGCTGCATTATAGGCTAGTTTTACGGGAGAAGAGCGCCATCTGTAGGCATATTTAGGTATTATATGTTATAGACAGAGGTTATATATATGGTAAGGTGCAATGTGATGTTATAATACAGGTTATGTCAACAGCTCATGGAATGATATTATCTGTTCTGTGTATATAAGTCATTGTCTCTATAATGCTAACAGATATATATTGTAGGTTATATCATAGAGACATTTTAGATAAGATATTTGTCGTACATGATTGACTGGCTTTATGTCTTATATTATAGAGTTTAGAGATTATAGAGGTTAAATATTGCTTAAAAATTTCCACATGATGTTGGTTAAACAGATATATAATAAAATGCTATATAAACTATATTGGTTTATTGGTTGAAGTTAGCATGATGTACATTAAAGGAAAAATTTGGCAGAAACTCCATCGTTTGTATAAAACAAATCCCTGTGGTTCAATGTATACGCGGACCGTTGGGATAGGAATTCCTCACAAGTCCCTGTGGTTTAATGTATTACAGGTAAACGGACCGTTGGGATAGGAATTCCTCACAAGTCCCTGTGGTTTAATGTATTACAGGTAAACGGACCGTTGGGATAGGAATTCCTGACAAGTCCCTTTGGTTTAATGTATTACAGGTAAACGCACCGTTGGAATGGGAATTCCTCACAAGCCTCTGTGGTTTAATGTATGGCAGATATGATAGGTTTCGTTTGTATATATCACATAGTATAGGCTACATAAAGATAATACCATGATGTTTTCGATATTACCTATTTATGTTTGTATTATAAACATTTTAATTCACTTTAGTTACCAATATGCACAGGTACGGTATACAATATGATGTAGACGTGACCTATTATACATCAAATTAACATTAAAACTACATTTATTACTGTACAAAATTATTAAGATATTACGTTATTCTAATAGTTCGGCAATTTGCACCGGTGTATAAAGTGTATACAATATATATATATATATATATAACAGTACGTTAATTAGCAGAAGTGTTTGTTACAAACGTCACAAGTTTTACAGGTATTAATAGTTATAAGCTATCTCCTCACACTAGTTTTACAGTGAATTTTATCTTCTAGAAATCCCAGTATCCAGTATTGTCAAAAAGATCTCCTACATCTAACCTCCCGACAAAGTTACGGGGCAGTCAAAATCCCAGTATCCATTATTGTCAAAATGATCTCCTACATCTAACCTCCCGACAAAGTTACGGGGCAGTTTTATCTTCTAGAAATCCCAGTATCCATTATTGTCAAAATGATCTCCTACATCTAACCTCCCGGCAAAGTTCCGGGGCAGTTTTATCTTCTAGAAATCCCAGTATCCATTATTGTCAAAATGATCTCCTACATCTAACCTCCCGACAAAGTTACGGGGCAGTTTTATCTTCTAGAAATCCCAGTATCCATTATTGTCAAAATGATCTCCTACATCTAACCTCCCGACAAAGTTCCGGGGCAGTTTTATCTTCTAGAAATCCCAGTATCCAGTATTGTCAAAATGATCTCCTACATCTAACCTCCCGACAAAGTTACGGGGCAGGTTTATCTTCTAGAAATCCCAGTATCCAGTATTGTCAAATTATCTCCTACATCTAACCTCCCGACAAAGTTCCGGGGCAGTTTTATCTTCTAGAAATCCCAGTATCCAGTATTGTCAAAATGATCTCCTACATCTAACTTCCCGACAAAGTTACGGGGCAGTTTTATCTTCTAGAAATCCCAGTATCCAGTATTGTCAAATTATCTCCTACATCTAACCTCCCGACAAAGTTCCGGGGCAGTTTTATCTTCTAGAAATCCCAGTATCCAGTATTGTCAAAATGATCTCCTACATCTAACCTCCCGATAATGTAACGGGACACTTTTAAAGGTAAATTTTTTATTTTTTGTCTTAAGGACTGAATTTGTCATAAGATCGATAGTAACTTAAATATGCTTTTTAATTTTTTTTTTCAATTTGGATGAAGGAAACGCTATTAATAATTCTAACTGTGGTCCATGACGTTTTCCTCTTTGTTTTTGGCGTTTCGTCGGCTACTACGTTGATTTTGGTACGGACGTTTCCCATAATATACATAGGTTATTTAGGTTATACATCAGCTGTTTTAAGTTATAAATCAGCTGTTTTAAGTTATACATCAGCTGTTTAAGTTATACATCAGCTGTTTAAGTTATAGATCAGTTGTTTAAGTTATACATCGGTGGTTTAAGTTATACATCAGCTGTTTAAGTTATAGATCAGTTGTTTAAGTTATGCATCAGCTGTTTTAAGTTATACATCAGCTGTTTAAGTTATACATAAGCTGTTTAAGTTATACATCGGGGGTTTAAGTTATAGATCAGTTGTTTAAGTTATGCATCAGCTGTTTTAAGTTATACATCAGCTGTTTAAGTTATACATAAGCTGTTTAAGTTATACATCAGCTGTTTAAGTTATAGATCAGTTGTTTAAGTTATAGATCAGTTGTTTAAGTTATACATCGGTGGTTTAAGTTATACATCAGCTGTTTAAGTTTTAGATCAGTTGTTTAAGTTATGCATCAGCTGTGCATGTTGATGCTGTACACCTGTTTCACCATTACAAGTTTGTTGTTGTAAGATTCGCGAAGATCAATGTCATTACTATGGTTTCTCTATCCTTTACGCCTGTCCTATAATTATTTCTCCAGCGAGGAAATCTCCGGTCGGTCATTCACTTTACATTGATTTCTTATAAACTACACTGACCTGGTACTGACCCAGATCTTGTCTTGGTATCCGTGAACTTACCAGTTCGATCTTTATGTCACGTAACAAATTGTTAAGTGTCATTATTCTCAGAAACGTTGTTCGTAAGTTAAGTACCAGGACATCACTTTTATAGAAAATGGCTTTGGACCTGTGTAAATATAATTCTACGTTGGGTTATCACCACCGTGGATCACGAACCTAGTTTTGATACAGATGGAATCCGTACCCAAGGACTTGGCATGAATATCTAACCCATGGACCATTTATTTATATAATAGTTACGTTACAATAATACATATAAGGCCTGTGGATTGGAAATTCGTGCCAAGTCCCTGTGAATTCGTGTAACGGGACACCTCCGTTGGTAACGAACTCATTTTTACGATCATCATATTTTCATGAAAATGTACCCTCAAACCCTGGGTTACACCCTGCCCTTAGTGACCTCAAACCCTGAGTTACACCCTGCCCTTTGTGACCTCAAACCTTGAGATAATCTCTGCCCTTTGTGACCTCAAACCTTGAGTTAAACCATGTCCCTTGTGACCTCAAACCTAGAGTTAAACCCTGTCCCTTGTGACCTCAAACCTACAGTTACACCCTTCCCTTTGTGACCTCAAACCTTTATCAAAAGCCCTGCCATTTGTGACCTCAAATCTTGAGTTACATCCTGCCCTTAGTGAGCTAAAACCTTGAAAAACACCCTGCCCTTTGTGAACTCAAACCTCGAGAGACACCCTGCCCTTTATGACCTCAAACCTTGAGTTACATCTTGCCCTTTATGACCCCAAACCCTGAGAGACGCCCTGCCCTTTATGACCTCAAACCTTGAGTTACACCCTGCCCTTAGTAACCTCAAACTTTGAATACGCCCTGGACTTTGTGACCTCAAACTATAAGTTACACCCTGCCCTATGTGACCCCAAACTTTGAGTTACATCCTGCCCTATGTGACCTCAAACCTTGAGAGACACCCTCCCCTTTATGACCTCAAACCTTGAGTTACATCCTGCCCTTTATGACCTTAAACCGTAATAGACACTCTGAATCTATGACCCCAAACCTTGAGAGACGCCCTGCCCTTTATGACCCCGAACCTTGAGAGACACCCTGCCCTTTATGACCCCAAACCTTGAGAGACACCCTGCCCTTTATGACCTCAACACCAATGAAACGCCTCTCATTGCTATTAATATAAACATCAGTCAGAGAATGAATTAAATGACAGCTGTCACTAATATCACACCTATACGTATATACAACCTGTCAGTTTAGTCATGGAATTATCAAGAAATTTGATGTAACTTGTGAATGTAGTATAAAGTAATCGACAATAATGTCATCACCTATGTAATATACAGAAAGTTATTGTGAATCAA